ATAAAACTGAACTGAACTGAATCGAACTAAAGGAGCACAGACTCACAGAGGCTCAAAATCATTGTCAGGAACAAAGATTTCCGGTTAATTGGTCGTTAAAGTACAGACACGTGACTTACGTCACAGAAAAGATTTTCTTTCTTTAATTTGTTTTGTCCAGTTTCGAGCTCTATCTATTTAACATCTATTTTTGTTACTTAGTTTACGTTTTATAGGTACTTAACACAATATACTTAGTGCAAGCGTGGCTTAATTGGTCGTTAAAGTACAGACACGTTGCTTACGTCACAGAAAAGTTTTTCTTGCTTTAATTTTTTTGGTCCAGTTTCCAGCACTGCATGACTATAGTGATTAGGGTAAGCACTGACAATACTAATTGGGTTTAAGCACTGAAATTAGTGACTAATGTTAAGCAGTGACTCAAAACGCTTAATTGCTTCCAGTTAGGACTAGGCTTGATTTAAGATACCTTCAAATCAAACGTATTCTCAGTAGTGAATCCTCAGTGGCGTAGTGTGCTATGGGTGGTGGACTGCATATTTTACGATTCGCGTTCGATTCTTACTCACGCTTCTCGGAAATTGTTTTTCCTTAAAAACTGAAGAGACTTTAACACTTTCATGAACATTTGCTGTGCAGAAATTTTGACAGACTTACTAGAAATTTCATGAACCATTAGGAAGCAATAAAGAATACTGTACTGCGTAAGCTTAATACGGTGTCCAAGGGAGTTTAGGCCGATGAAATCTCTGGCTAACCTGTCCAACATGCATTCTCAGAAATTCAGTGCATTCCGTTGGGTCTCAGTGGAGAAACGAGACCGCGAAAGTTTACAAGCACGGCTTCAGGACTGCCTATGGAATGCCGTTTGTATCAAAAATACTCCTTACCATATATAAACCTTTACTTTAAATATATAAAACATTTTGCTTTATGAATAAAACTTCTTAATTTTAGTATTAAGTTTATAGTGCACAATTAAAACTTGTTACAAAATATATAAAACTTGTTGAAAAATATAAAACTTTTCACCATATATAAAACTTGTAAACCTTGCATATATATATTGACAAGTTTTATATATCTTGAAAAGTTTTATATTTTTCAACAAGTTTTTTATATTTTGTAACAAACGCCTGATGTAGGTTCTGCTAACCTATTTTCGGCTGCTTTACCTTTTGTTTGACCGAATTAAAGGTCTCGTATGTATCGTCTCATTCTGGGAGATGGGTTGACGTGTGTCGCTCCAAAACGCGTTTTCCTTAGCCCTCATAATGAGCGGAAAAATGTGATCTTGTTAAAAAGTCATTGCACTATCGACCTGTGGGAGACTGGCACGGAAATTCGATGAAGGGGAAAGAGAGAGGAAATATTTATTTCCCATCGTTCCTCATGCGCATATCCTATGCGCTTCCTCCGTTAATATTTAATAAAAGAGAGAGACAACCGAGACGACTGGGACTGGTAATCAGTGCCTCCACCAGATTTCACGTTCAGCGTTCCCATCAGTCCCACTGCTAACTGCTTAACTGAGGCGTTCAAAAACACAAGCAAATGGAGCTGTTAGTCTTGAATCTCCAAGAGTTTGCTTGACGTTTATGCCCCGGTCGAATAGTCACAACATTTTGTTCTGAGGTTTTTTTGAGCCCATGTTGTTGCGCGCGCGTTCATGCCCGCACAAAAAATGGCGGTTATTGTGAGTCATCGCGTTAATTTTGCGACGTATGACTTTCGTCTTGGATGTCGTTCGTCATTAAATGGAAACATGGGCAAGGATGTACGAAATGACTACTTAATTTAACAAAGTTTTCATTTTTTCTCAAAACATTGAGCTTGTTTCCGTTGAAAACGCTTTGCACCGGAGTAAATTTTGCTGACGAACGGTATCACCTGTTTAAGTTCTTAAACACCTCTAACGTTTTTTATTAAACTTACAAAACAGTTAGTAAATCAACAGCGCATGGGTACTTGTAGGTTGTATGCTTCCAGTGAAATAAAACTAGCAACCCTAATTTTGAATTTAGTTTTGAAAGCAAGGACCAACGTTACAAAATAGAAGCACCGGATCCACATAGAGGATCTAATCAGCTATAAATTAAGGTATCTGAACAACGGAAAGAAGCAAGGCTGATTTCAAAGTTGCAATTAATACTTTGCTTAGGTTTCCAAATGTTTTTCGTTTGACCGCAGTGGAGGCTTGTCCTTAGTGGTCCCCTCCCCATCATTCATACGCGGTCGCGAATCGGCTGCGGGAGATTGGCACTGGAACTCGACAAAATATGATTGCCAAAGGTCATTGTCTAATTGATTAGGTCCTCGTCTTCCCGCGTCTTCCTTCCCAGCTCTCATGCGCGTATCTCCTGCGCGATTCTCTCTTTAATAATTAAACTCTCTCACATTGAGCTGGGGAGAGACTGGTGAGACGACTGGGGACGGATCCCGGAAGAATCAGTACTAGTCCCTCTACTAGATTTTACATCCGGCGTTCCATCCCAACATTCCACCTATTAACAAAAGAGAATGAACTGATTCGGCTCTTGCTGCTAATTATTTCACTGAGGCGGAGGGGAAAACTAACGGCAAGTCCTGACAGAATCATGTTAAAATATTGTAGCTGGTCATGTTTTGTTGTTATTATGTGACTCATTACTGGAAACTGAAAGTCACATCGTCCTACTGACGAACAGTTACGGTGTTTAGATTTTCTATTTTTTAAACTTTCAGATATTTCGAGCAACAGCAATTTGCCGTCTGTCCTCTCTCAATAACTAACTGTGTTCACTAAGTAGCCTCTTCTCTTGAAAACAAAGTTATTTGATGAGCGCTTTAGCTCAGAAAACAGCTAACCTACACTATTTATAACAGAACTCTAGCCAGAGGCGTAAAATTCTAATGGAAATAAGCAAACAAATTACACAAAGACCCTGTAGCGATTGATAGGCCGGCTCCTTTCTAAAAAACCCAGAATGACATACCTGGAAAGACTTTAGAATTTGCCGACATTCTAAAGATCTCAAGTCCGTTTCATAACTGAAGCGGGTTCATAATGCTGTAAGAGGACCAACTCAGATAAATCCCTGCTTATAAATTCTAGTGAGCACCCACCCATTCAATGGTGTCAGATCACGCTTGAAAAAAAAAAAAGATCAGTCCTAGCAGGTATGACAGGGCAGGGCAGAGGATTGGAAAACGCCTGATTCAAAACGGAAGAATTCAATCTCATACATCGCCCAAGTTGTTAAGTCTTATCAGTCACTAATGGAAGGTCTTTCAATATATGAAAATTCAGCACGATAGCGAGTCTTAGAGGACGCAAACATGTTTATTCATTTTCTTTGTTTGTGTCCTCTAAGACTCGCCATCATGCTGAATTGATTTAGAACTTTCCGCTAAAGCATCGGGGTGGTGAAGCAACTTAAAAGCGAGGAGGAGGGAAAATAATAAGATTGTGGAGGAGGGAATAATAACATTGGGGAGAGAAAATATTAAAATTGTGGCGGAGGGAATAAAAAAGAATTGAGGGGAAATATTAAAATTGTGGAGGAGGGAATTCAAGAATGAGGGGCGAAAATAATAAAATTAAGGAGGAGGGAAAAAAGGTAAAAAAAAGAGCTTGCTTTCTTTGACTATTTTATAGATTTCTTTCAAATCGCTCTGTATTTGACTCTTTTTGTTTTAAAACGGCATCTGGTGTCTGATTTTATTGCTAGCAATTATAAGTCGCGTGTTTAATCAATTGATCTTTGTTAAGTTATTTGTTATATAATAACACGTCAAGATGCTCCTTTGATGTTTTTCCTGTAGAGCTAATTACCTGACTAACGGCGCGTGAACCGTTGAGACTTCAGTAGTTTTTCATTTCCTCGAGATAGAACGGAGAAAACAGTTCTGTAATAGTCAGACAAAATTGAAATAGAGAGTTTTCTGCCCCACTTTGTGTATATGTGCGTGTGTTTTGTTTATATATCCGAGTTTTAGCGCTAAATAAGATATAGGAAGCCGTTTCTCGTGTTGCTAGGTGATCGCTTCTCTTATTCCTATTTTCCTTTTAATAGACGGTCCGAAAACCGGGCTCAAGTTACTTCACGGGCAAGCCGAGGCAAGCCTATTGTGCCTATTTTAGTAGAAAGACCTCATAAGTAAACCTATACGGAATTAGTATGCGGGAAGGTATGTGAATGTTAATGATTTACCCAGACCTGCCAACCCCTGATAAAGGAAAATCTGGAGACCCATGAAAAAAAAATCTGGAGATTCTATAAAAAATAGTGAGATTCTATTTTTTTCCCGATCTAGATTAAAAAAACCCGTTTTCCATCGAGGAAAGTCATTAACAGTTTATTTAAATATTTTATTTGTGTTCCCTGTTGTAAGAAGATGCAGCTTTCTTTGATGATTCTAATAGGTCTGGTCTAAGGAATTAGACCTCGTTCCCAGGGCCTACTCCCCTTTCAAAATGGCGGACAGACACGAAGAAAAACGATTAAGTTTATTGAACACAAGCGAAAATCACAGCTGGGTACAAAAAAGTAAGAACAGTGTTCTTCTTTATTAGTTTTTCACTTTATGGCACAAGCATTCCTCGTTAATTTCCCATTTTTATTCTGATTCAACAACTTAAATCATTTCAGAATGATTTTTTCCAAAACCCGTGAGATTGAGGAGCCTTGTCGTGAGACCGTGAGAAATGACAAAAAATCGTGAGACTCACGGCAGAACCGTGAGAGTTGGCAGGTCTGTAATTTACCTATACCTATACCTTAACCTATACACCAACGGGGCTTAATTTTGCTGAATCATAACTACTTCTTTGTTCTCTGCCCTCCGCTCATGCTTCACCTTCGCCTGTAACGTATCAAAATGGAGACTGCTTTAAAAGTACAATTATCGCCTGTTCTATTTGCGAGTCGCAGGTAAGAATACTTCATTGAGATCCTGGGTATATACATTTATGTACAGCTGTGACAGTAGTTGTCAACTTAAACATGTTTCTTCTTAGTTTACAAGTTCTTTGTTTCCGTTGCACCTTCGCCATCTTTCAAACTGCTCTTATCAAATGCACCTGCAAATAGAAAAACTAATCATCACGGTTCCCTTCGTATGTATTCTTTGCACGATTTATTTTTGCTATCAATCAACATGCTTCTGTTGCTCGTTGCGCTAAATGTTTTACCTATAATATGTCTAACACAGATTTTTTTCAAGGTCAAACAAATAGCAACCTTTACACTTATATGCTAAAAGTTCAGTAAAGTCGTATTGGAATTGTCGACGTTTCTTCTTTCATCAGGTACAACCTTAAGAAGACGTTTCTTTGACAGCCACTTACTTATCTTATCTATGACTTAGATCGTTTTCGTATGCTCTTTGGAATCTCAACTATTGTTTTCTACATTTTCATTTTAGTTAGTTATTTTAGATCCGAGCATGCATACTTTACGAAATATTCCATGAAATTCGGAAATAAAATTCGGCCTTCTCTCCAGTTGTCTCACTTTCATGAACAGGGTTGAAAAAAAAAACAAAACAAAACAAAGCAAATAAAGAAACTAACAAACTCAGTATAACTCCCCTTAGTTAGTACTATTTTTCAAAATAATGCGTTGTCACGAACATTTATTTCACATATTTTGACTAAAAACAGCTAAAAAAACCCTAAAAATTATATCAAATACAAACCTTTGAATGTTACATCATCTCCAATCAGCATAAAGGGTGCCCACTCCTTGACGTCAGAAAAGCGATTCTCTCTCATCGACTTCATGGCCTGGTGAAGAGATTCACTGGCGCTTTCACCACGAACAAGGTGCTCGTAAAAATGATTCATAAACCACATAGTAGCTTCGTCCTCTATAGCCCACAGTGCCGCCAACACGGCGCGTGCACCCGATGCTAGAAATGCTCGTGCGATTCCAACAATTCCCTCAGCCCTTACCTGACCACGTGCACTATGACAGCAGCTAAGGACAACCAGCTTGGCTGTTAGTCGAACTTGTGAAATGTCAGCCATCGTCAATAAGTAGTCTTCTTCGTGTGGAGTTCCGCAGGAGCTTACAGGGGAGAGAGCTATTTCTCCACGTTTAGCATAACCATGAGCAGCGAAGTGAATGAGACTTACTGAATGTATGCTTTCCAGGACTGCCTGCTTATTTGCATTCCTTCCAAGTAACGGTTGAACACCGAGCAGTCGCCCAATCATCTCTGCTTCTTTTCTCGCCCAAGGCAGTGAGTTTAACTGTAGAAGGTTTCCTTGGTAGTATACAGCACTAACGGCTGGCTCTCCTACGATCAGTGCACCGGTTGCACTGTGGTAGTCTGTTGGACTGAGCTGAATCAACTTAAGAGTCGTCAAGGAAGGGACAATACGAATCCTGAAAGCATCCGATAAATACTTTCCATTATCATCCATTAAAGCAGCAAAAGGAATTGGATACAACAAGTTATCCGGTACAATAATGATTTCTGATTCTTGGAGTAAGTCAGCTACAGGAGCGACTATCACTTTGTAACCATCAGCAAGGGTTAAAGGTTTAGAGTCGTGATTTTCGTCTTCCTCTTCTTCTATAAGTCGCAAAGATTCGAAGCTGTCACTCTGAGATGGTTTGCATGATTGCGGGGAGCTTACACATGAAAACAATGATCGATCTTCGCATTGGTCTTGACGTAAATCAAAAGAGCCACCAAATGTCTGATTCCCAAACACTTTATCTGCATTTTCTTTGAGTGTCTTTTGTCGAAAATCTATTATTTTGTTTGGCTTGAGGATCCAAAAGAACATATCATGACCGAAGCAGGAAACATAAAGACAAGAACTAAGTGTATTTTGGTTCATGATGTTTTCAATACCAATCCATGACTGTCTGTTGACTGATACCCCTTTATCTACGGAGTACTTATCTGACAGTACGTCCGTCAGTGCTCTGGACCGTCCAAGCTCGGCAACGTAAAGGGCTTCATGATAATTACCTGTACCAATCAACAACCTACAAAGAAGAAGGTAAGGGGACACATGCTCATCAAAAAAAGAAATTTTGAATTGATCTCTCATTCTTAAAAAAACATGCATTTCTTCGCATTTCTGGATGCTTTCGTACAGATTTAGTTCCGTAGCCGTAGTTCATTTATGCTTCCTTTTGCCACTAAAACGTTCAGAGCGATGTTAAGGTGGCTGTCAAACTGCAATTCAATGTCCCCTATTTCGTAACTTATCTCAAGTGCTTTATTAGCATATTCTTGACTCTTCGCATTAAGCTGAAATTCTCGACAAAGTCTTCCCACACTTAAGTATGAAGCTCCAACACCACGTTTGTCTCCGATTTCCTCGTAGATCGTCAGTGCTTTTTGAACGTATTCTTCAGCCTTGGCATATTGACCAACAGAAAGAAACACAGTTCCTAAATTTGCGTAAGCAGTTGCTTCTCCTTGTTTGTCACCGATTTTTTTTCTGATCACTAGTGATTTCTGAGTGTATTCTTCAGCCTTGGTATATTGACCAACAGATTTAAACACAGTTCCTAGATTTCCGTAAGCATATGCTTCTCCTTGTTTGTCACCGATTTCTATCCTGATCACTAGTGCTTTTTGAAGGTATTCTTCAGCCTTGTTATATTGACCAACAGATTGGAACACAACTCCTAGATTTCCATAAGTGGATGCTTCTCCTTTTTTGTCACCGATTACTTTCTGGATCCTTAGTGCTTTTCGAACGTATTCTTCAGCCTTGGCATATTGACCAACAGAAAGAAACACAGTTCCTAAATTTGCGTAAGTAGTTGCTTCTCCTTGTTTGTCACCGATTTCTTTCCTGATCACTAGTGATTTCTGAGTGTATTCTTCAGCCTTGGTATATTGACCAACAGATTGGAACACAACTCCTAGATTTCCATAAGTAGATGCTTCTCCTTTTTTGTCACCGATTACTTTCTGGATCACTAGTGCTTTTTGATGGTATTCTTCAGCCTTGTTATATTGACCAACAGATTTAAACACAGTTCCTAGATTTCCGTAAGTAGATGCTTCTCCGTGTATGTCACCGATTTCTTTCTTGATCACTAGTGCTTTCTGAAGGTATTCTTCAGCCTTTTTATGTTGACCAACAGATGAGAACACAGTTCCCAGATTTCCGTAAGCAGTTGCTTCTCCTTCCTTGTCGCCAATTTCTTTCATGATCATTAGTGCTTTTTGAAGGCATTCTTCAGCCTTGGTATATTGACCAAGAGATTTAAACACCTTTCCTAGATTTCCGTAATCTGATGCTTCTCCCTGTGTGTCACCAATTTTTTTCCTGATCACTAGTGCTTTTTGAAAGTATTCTTCAGCCTTGGTATATTGACCAACAGATTGGAACACAGCTCCTAGATTTCCGTAAGAAGATGCTTCTCCTTTTTTGTCAACGATTTCTTTCCTGATTTCTAGTGCGTTTTGAAGGTATTCTTCAGCCTTAATATATTGACCAACAGAAAAAAACACAGTTCCTAGATTTTCGTAAGCAGATGCTTCTCCTTGTTTGTCACTGATTTCTTTCATGATCACTAGTGCTTTTTGAAGTTATTCTTCAGCCTTGGCATATTGACCAACAGATTGGAACACAGCTCTTAGATTTCCATAAGTGGATGCTTCTCCTTTTTTGTCACCGATTACTTTCTGGATCACTAGTGCTTTTTGAAGGTATTCTTCAGCCTTGGTATATTGACCAACAGATTGGAACACAAATCCTAGATTTCCGTAAGCAGATGCTTCTCCTTGTTTGTCATCAATTTCTTTGCTGATCACTAGTGCTTTTTGAAGGTACTCTTCAGCCTTGGTATATTGACCGACAGATCGGAGCACAGCTCCTAGATTTCCGTAACATATTCCAACTCCGTGATTGTTTCCAGTCTCAATCAGGATGCCGAGTGCCTTTTCGCAACACTGTCTTGCTTCCTCGTATTTGCTTCTTTGATAGTAGATGCCAGCTAGTTTTAGTAATATTATCCCTTCTTCTTCTTCTTTTTGACCACTATTGTGGAGTGTCACGTGAAGCTTTTTAGCGGGGCTCCCGCGCGCGCGAAGCGCGCGTGGGACAGAGCCCCATACCCATGGAATATGGTCAACCTCTTTTCGTTTGGTTGTCACGTGATTGACCGAGCGTACGTACGTACGTACGTACGCGTCTACAGATTGTATGGGTGGGGTAGGGGAGACTATCAAAAGGAAGGGAGGGGTGTCTCAGGCGTGTCTTGGCAAGCCCACATCTTTCATATAGGACATTAACAATATGGTCAATTGACAGCTGTCCAAACAGGATAGCCACTGACCAGTATCCCATGACCATATCGCGGGCTCATGTGTCAACTCATCGAGGTGACGTGATTTATTTGGAAGCTGTCCGCTGACCAGTTAACTGTTTTACTAGATCGCGAACAACGTTCAATCTCATACTTTTACTAGTTTGGGAGCACAGGAAAACTGATAATGCACACATATTGGACATCAATGTTTTGATCAATTGACAGCTGTCAAAACAGAGTACCCGCTGACCAGTATCACTTGACCGTATCGCGGGCTCAGGTGTCGACCGGTCGAGGTCAAGTATCTTTTGAAGTTATCCGCTGACAAGTAAACTAGTTTTCAAGTGATCGCAGGCTCAAGTTCAATTTTTTTTCTTAATTCGGATGAAATATGTTGTGTTTATGTGCTGCACAATTAAAATTTTGATTGCGAACTGACCTCGGACGTGAAAATTCAGCCAGCTGTTACAGGCAGGGAAGACAGTTGCTTTTGTTTTTTCTCACAATGGTCACGCGTTGGTCACGCTCTACGTCCAATTTTTATGCTCTGATTGGTCAAAATTTGACATGTGAGTTCATGCGCAAAATTTATGCAGCATCTTGAATCTTGTTTACTTTAACAGCTGAAGCTGACAGAGTTTTGAGTCAACTTGTGATGTTTTTAACTGTCTTTTTCCACTGGATGTACAAAATGAAATTCAGCTGCTATCAGGAGTCTTCTGTTACTCATGGCTAGTTTGTTTATAGGGTTTTTGGTTGAGAAAACGTCGCTTGTCAAAGTCGGAAATCCGATTTCGGATGGCATCGTTTTCGTTTTCACCTTGCTTGATGCGTAAGAGGATTGCAAAGTCTAAAGCGATACTGGCTTTACCTGATAACTTTCAGGAGCTGCATCTCGAATGGTAAGCCAGAGAAATTATTGTATTTCATGTTTGTTTTTTGTATCTAATTTAATGAAGTGGAGCGTAGTTTATGCGGGAATTTAGTTTGTGCGCGTTTGTAAGTTTTGAAACAACGATCTCACCGAGTATCTGGTTTGATATAATCTTACAGAACTTTAAAAAGCCTTTAGACAGTTTCTCACCGCAAATAGAAAGAAAATGTTCCAAAGAATCTTTAGTTATAATTCTAGCCGGAAAAGAAAGCTTTTAGCGATTTTCTTGCCTCGAGTTCGTCTTTGAGAAAACAAACACAGGGAAGCTTAAGGGAAACTTAAGCTTGAAGCTTGAAGACTCAGGATATTTAGGGACACTTTAATACTTGTCTTCCTGAATGAAAATTGTTGTCTCTGTTTATGTTTCACCGAATTATATTTCTTTTATTGATTGTTGGTAGTCTCTCTTGCAATTTTAATCGCTATGCCGATTGTTTTCAGTCGTTCAGTGAACATCGCTTGCAGGAGTTCTCAAAATGCCGCGCGTTAAACCATCAAATAAAAGATAAACATGATAAATTCTTTATTATCTTGGAGCGTAACTCTGTTGATGTTCATTCAAACACTCGCTACAGCTCGCACTACAAAAGTGAGAACCGGATGGCCGTATAGGTGATTTTGGAAAATTTTTTTAACAGTTTATGAATATTGAATGAGAGCAATTTGTATTGTGAAATACTGCTTTCTGTCCATGGTATAAAAGGTTGGTTTACACGCACCCAGATTTGTTGGCAAGATTTTGCAAAGTAAACTTGTCGAACGCCAAAACGTTGGCCTGATTTTTTTTTCTAAGCCTAATTGATCTACGGTGATCAATAGCCATTACGGCTCTTAAATGTGATAAAAGATGATTACCAGTTTTTGAGTGTACATATGAGGCTATCAACTCGATGTAAGATTTGGTTCACTCTTGGGCTGTTTGCAAATTATTTTTCTCTAAAATCAGGTAGCCTTTCCCTCAAAAGTCACATAAATGTGCTCTAAAGTTAACTGAATTGTGGAATTCGAATACAAGTTTATTGTTTAATTTAAATTATAAATTTACTAATGGGAGCCTCGCTTTTAGCCCTGGCTAAATCTATATATTACCACATTCTATTGCACGGGTGTGATCGTGCATAAGAGTATAGCCATTAAGAAGTTTATGGTATACATAGATAACAAGTGGTGTGGTAAGTTCTTTGATTGTCTCTAGGGCTTTACCGTTAAGGAGCACCAAACATTCGTTAAAGATGTCCACCGCTTTTATAATACGTCCATTGTTGAAAAGAAAAGTTGCAACGACTGCACCAATATGAATGGACTGTAGAAACTCCGAGATGTTGTCCATGACCCTTTTTTCTTGACCTTGAGAAAAAAATATTTCAAGAGTAAGAAAGTGGAAACACGATTCTTTAACTGAACAGTTAGACTTCTTGGGCAAGATAATCAAGCTTTCGTGTAAGATTTATTGAGGTAAGTTAAGTCACGATCATAAGTGCTGGACCATCATTTCTATGGCCTATTCTCCCGGTGGAGGGGGACTCCGCATATGAAAGTGGTGGGGATGCTCGTCGTCTCGCTTAAAGGTGTAAATTTCGGATTTTGGTCTCACTTAGGGTGTTCTGGGCAAAACGCCATTTAACCGTGAAGGTGTCGTTTGAGGTTGCACGCCAAAAAATATAAAAATATATATATTGTCTTTGTTTTATCATTGTCACTTCTAGGGGTCAAAAAAAGCTTGGGCCACGCCCAGATCGGTCTCCTTTAGGGGTTTAATTCAAAATTTCTGACGAGCATCCCCATCCCTTTCATATGTGGAAACCCCCCGGACCTATTCTATACTTGTTTAATCTGCAAACGCAGAATATCTATGAAAAAAAAATGGTTTTACAGAGTAGTTTGTAACCTAATATTTACTATCATACATCGTCCTGTTAAAAATTCTGGAAAATACAGCTCTTTCAGTCACAAGCTTTGAAAATCGGCGAACCCAGGTTCTCTCTTACTCCTGACTCATTCCCCACTCAGTTTGATATCTTTACCTACCCAGTCTAACTTTTGTTTCTAATAGTTGTCATTACATCTTATGAAGTGCTTTTATTCATAGTTTTTACCAGCTCCTTAATTTTTAGTATTGAACTTTTTGTTGTTCTTTATTTTAAATGGAACTTATAAATGAAGGCCAACATTGGATTTGATGTCTAAAAATAGTCTTGCTTACAGCTGGTTTTTTTCGAAATGTAAAATTCTATGAGCCATATTTATTTTAGGATAGCTCTTAATTTGTTACACTGCAAAGAAAAGGAATTTATATTTAAAGACTGTGTACTTCGTTCCATTTTTAGTTCTGACACATTCCTCTTCTCTAGGACTTAAAAATATTAAAGCGAAATGGTTTGGTTTGTTATTGGTGTTTATAAAATAGATAGAACATTACATGGTCGCTTAAAGATATGAAATATCTTTTCTTGTGCTGGAGAATATTTCAGTCATTCGCTATGCTTACTCGTGGAATATTTTTCTCAACATTCGAAGAGACATTTCGTATCTCCGCGCGGCCAAGTAATATCCTCTATTTATTATTCATTCAAAATATTGGCTGCAATCCCCCGGTTAATTCATCATAACCAAGTGGCGCTTAGCATACTTGGAAGACGCAAGCAACATACCATCGATTCGATGGTATAAATTAGGGCCGTAGGAGTAGGAGGAGGGGGGCGTGGGGGTAGGGTCCGTGCCCCTCACTTTTTGGGCGAAAATTTTTTAAAAAAGAAGACCACCACTTTACCGTTGAAAATACTGAGTTAATAACACAACCCAATTCTTCTTTCGATTTTATAAACTATGTTGTTAGGGTTAATTTTTTAACCAGTCAAGTCTCTTTAAAGCTCTGTCTCGTCCTTAGCCAGCGCTATACAGCCGTCTCTCCTCGCTCCTCATCACTAGCGATGTTTTGCAGGGAAGATGAGGAGAGACGGCTGTCATGCAGGCTACTGATCTCGTCCTTTGCTTGTAATTATCTCCATGGTGTCACTGTTCACCTTTTTTATCCGTTAACATTGTACCTTAACGATAACATTAGAGATAGGTAAAATATATTCTAACAATTTGCATTTTCTTTCGTATTTATTAAAATGTCCTGTGGATAACGCAGGAAATAGCATTTACGAGCCCTTAGGTAAAAATTTTCTGTGGAAGCATGCCCCCAAACCCCCCTACTTTGGAGTGCCTTCGGCCCTCTAACTTTTTCCCCTTTGCGTTGCACCTTAAAATCTATTATACGAATCTCGAAAAACTTGCTTCTCAAGACGGATTCAGGAGACGATTTCTCAAGTTAGCCATGTATCAACCTGAAAATTTTATGGTTCAAATAAGAACAGGGAACGTCTTGAAACGCAGCTTATTATTGTGAAAATGTATGCTCGAGAAAGTGCCATAGCCTCTGTGTCATCCATAAAAAAATTTCTTAATGCAAATGAACTTGCTTCATTCAGTGAGACTGCAACATGTACAGTTTTAGTGAAACTGATATTAGTTATGCCTGCCACAAATGCTTTGAGTGAAAGGTCTTTCAGTGTCTAAAAAAGAATCAAGAATTACCTTAGGTCTACCATGACGCAAAAAACGGATGAACAACCTTTTGCACGCTGATGTCGTATCCAAGGAAGACGCGGACAAACTGATGTTGCTAACGACTTTTACACCGAAAACTCTCGCAGGTTGTCAAAATTCTTAGACACTTTTCAGAACTCGATCCACGTTGAACATTTAGCTAATTAATTAGTACTGATGGAAACCACTATATTTTCAACTACGGTAGTCATATTGGTTTATATAAATTCCATAACCTCCACTGTCACAGTAATCTTACTAGTAATCTTGAGTGGAAACTCGGCGGGCGGACACCGGTCCCTTTTTTTCTATCGTCTGGTACAGCCTGTCTATAATATCTGTACTATACTCGGCTAATTGTCGTCATTTCAGACTAGGTATTCAAATGTTACGTAGCAGTGCATATGTATACGGGCACTTTCTATGGCCCCCTCAGTGTCCGTATCAACTGAACGGGGTTTGACTGTTTAGACTTTCAAGATTTGGCGCACAACAGTCGTGCCCAGTCGTGCTCAAACTCCTTTCCAGACGCGGCAGCCTAGCTCTTTGTTGTTGAGTTAATCAAAAAAAGAAAATGGCGTTCACGGCTATCCGAAGGCGAAATAGCTGAATAGTTAACTAACTGAACAAAAGAAATGTAAGAATACGTTAAAAGTATCGCTGGAGGGATGTTGTCTACTTTTGAGGAGTATCGTCAAGGAAAAACATATGTTATATCGCGAAACCATGCCGAGAAATAGGCCAAAGTTTTGAAGAAAGTCTTTGAGAAGGTAAGCTCGTTTATAACAAATCAGAAATATTTTGAATGACTAATAAAGCAATTATTTAATTCGGCTTTCGGAAGATCTTGGACGATGTTATCCACCTCAGCCGATAACATCCTCCCCAATCTGCAGAATCCTTCAAATCCTATTCCTCCTCATTCAATAATTGCTAAATATTCATTAAATATATATTTCATATACACCTTTCCGGGTACATTGCGAACCAATTTAATCACCAGCTCCCAGCTGGCTTGCTGTATCACCCATAAATGTAATAATCAACCATGAAAAGTAACTCTAACCATAAATGTAATAAAAGTCAACCATAAATGTAATACCCAACGTAAATGTAATAAAAACTAACCATAAATGTAGTAGGTATAGAAAATCGTATGAATTCGATTTCACGAGCAATTTCATATGGTTAACAATAATTTTGCCCGGTTGTCAGCCATTTGGTATGTGTTTTTATTTCACACTTTCTCGTTTTTTCCAAAGAAGCTTCGGTACTGCGTTGTATAGCCTCTATTGGCCCTCTATATATTTAACAATTAATGTACGGCCTCGACGGATAACACCCTCCTCGATCTCCATAATTCTTCATATGATACGAAAGCCGAATTCAAGAATTGTTTTATTATTCCTTCAAAATAATTCCTAGTTTAAAAACAAAGCTAAAACAATTGCTTACCTCTATCGATGTTAAGTTCACCTTCGATAGTGCACGTTTAGGGTTTTTCAGCTCCACAAAAGTTCTCCAAATAGCAGATGTCGCCCTTCGAGTTGTCTTCTTGCTGTTCTTGTCATGTTTTTAGCTATAATTTCGCCTAGTTCTTACTCTTGAAACGAGTGAAATGTCCGCCAATACTTGCCTTAGTACTCTATTTCTCTCAAGATAGTATTTGAAGCTCCCGGTGAGGCTTTCCGTTCTCGAAGCTTCGCCGCTAATTTGCCCTTTCGCCAATGAGGCTATGAGATGAACTTGCAATGTTCTCAAAGTTCCTGTTTTCGTCGGATGACTCTTCTTTATTCTAATCCGAAATTTTGACTTTCAAAAAGGAGTGCATTGCATTAACCAAAAAGAAATCAATCTTTAAAAGAGACTATGCGAATATGGACAAACATGCTCTATGTAATGTTTAATAAACGAGCAGCAGTGTTTTATCGGTTTAAAATCACGAGCCGAAGGCGAGCGATTTTAGACCCGATAAAACACGTGCTGCGAGTTTATTGAACGAGTTCAAAGGCATTTCTGGAAAAGCGTGTCTCTATGGAGTTGATAACAATGACGCTGCTTTTGTGAACGTTGGAAATTAGCACACGAAAAAAAATATTACATTAGACATGCAATAAAATCAAATCTCACACGCGTTAGAAGTGTTCCAGTCTACGAACGAAACTAACCGAAGCCGATACGGCGTTTTGTTCTAGAGCTTTTCGGAAGCCTAAAAATGCCGAGGAAGAGAGAGTTAATTGATAATGGTACCCCAAAGTCATCAAGGACAGTGAAAAAGTAGTCTTCGAAAAATTTTTTCTGGAATCACCGAATGGTAGGTAAACAAAAATCCAGTACTCGAGCCTTGCGTATTCACAACTCAAGTCTTCAGTGCAATGCTTGGACACTACCGTAACCAATATTACCCTTGAGTCAATGAACTTTTGGCTGATTAAAATGGTGAAAGAACAAAGTTTAATTTTGTCCAATGGTAAATTTACTGCGTGTGTTATTTTCAAAGAACATTAAATAATCACGCAGCATTTCTTGTGTCAGTTGCTGTGCTGATAATTAATATTCATAGGTCACGTGCAGTGACTTAATATCTGATAAAACACCACATACTAATAAGGGAAGATTGTATCGATATAAAGTCACTGCGTGTGATGTATTATCGACTATTTGATAGGCCAGTGTGCTTATGAATTATTAATGAGTTTTTGAAGGATCACGCAACGCCCCCCAGCTTACTGGGTT